CTTTATGTAAAATCTCAATTGAATATTCAATAAAGATAGAGGCATGGCCTCACCATTAATATTTAAAAAAAAAAAAATAATATTTCATATTTTACATACTAAAATAAACTTTTAGTGAATGTGCATTATTTTGTTTAGTCCAGTATTTTATTTTCTTGTTAATTCTTCTATTCCAATACCTTTATCAGTTATTGCTATTATCATATTTTAATAAACTACCTTTTAGTAAAAAAAAAGAAGCCCTTTTCACTAGTGTGTATCTTATTTAATATAAATGAATAAAGGCTAATTTTCAATTTTTAGAAATATTGTATCATATTGCTCTTGATTTGCATGGCAAAAAACCAATTTGCTAAATGTTTGTAGCACTAATCAAGTTCTTTTTTTAGTTATTACATTTCTACATTGAAAAAAGAGACACTCACAAGGTACTGAGATTAATGGAATTATGAAAAACTTTCGAGCAAGGCTTGCTAATTTTGGATGCAAATTTTTGTGATCTGCCCACTACTATAAGGGATTTTCTGAAGGTCCAATTGTTTCCATCATAAGATATTGATCAACTTCATTTTTGTGTATTACCTTTTGTTGAACTACTGTAAAAACTGTTAATATGAATGACCCAGATAGATCAAGTGCTACTTCATTCAATAATGACCCAAAACTTTTATCATTTATAATTTGATCATATTCTAACCTAAGATAATCTTGATACTTCAACGTAGCACCTTCAAATTCAAAGTTTTTGCATCTTGGATCAATTGCTATTGCAGTAAATAATATTCTATCATCAGAAAACTAATTATAAATTAGATATTTAATTTAAGTAATTTAATAAACAATACTACACAACACAGCACTACATATAGTATCCTTTTAAGTAAAATTGAGTACTATTCAATCGTAAGTTCTGACATTTTTGAAAAGTATTTTGGTACTAATTAAAAAGTAATTTATTACAGTTCATAATCTAAATTAATGTTGTTATACAACTCATATAATCAATACTCTCTTCAAAGTACCTTTATCATTTAGTACCTCCTTTATACAGTACCCAGGGTATTATTTAATTTACCTTAGCATTTTTAAAAAGAGCCAGAATACTATATAAAGCACTAGTAAATATATTAAAATTTTACCTCATAGTATTTTGTAAATAATTTAGACATTATCTTTTTAATGCATTCAACCAAATTATTAGTTGCAGCAGGAGATTTTATTTGTTCTAATTCTTCATCTTCTGATTCCTTATCAAACACATTAATATCATCTGTTGTATTAAGATCTATTTCATCCATAGCATCTTCATCTAGAAATTCTTTTAGTAAAGCATTATGAAGAGAACTCATAGTCAGATAAATAATACTCATCATTGAGTATAAACTTCCTGAAATATAATTTGTTATATCACTAAATAGCTTTAAAACTTTAATAATATCAGAAATTGCAGTTCATTCATCCTCTGTAATCATAATTGATTTTAGATGTTTTTCATTTTCAATTGTATCTCTTTTTGGCTGAACAGTTAGTGAACTTGCAAGTATTTCGATGTAAGGTTTGAGCTCAAGTATTCAAACCTATGCATTATAAGTGGAGTTCCAGTAGGTTCTAACATCACTTTGTGCTCATAATAAGATAAGATTTTTCTCATTTTGCATACAAACCCGATTTTATTAATATAAAATTATAATACAAATAGAGTATAAGCAGCCTGATATTAAAAATCTAAAGTTGTAAAGCTTTTTTGGATCTTCTTTAGTATAGATGGGCAATATAAGAGCTAATGATTAGTAATCATTAATTTTTTAATAGCAGAGTTGTGGAGTTTGTGGGTTTGCCCACCTATACTAAAGAAAATCCACTTTTATCTGAAAGTTCAATTGAAAAAATTTTAAACAAGATCCATAAACTGGTATAAACAAATTTCACTGACAACTATCTGCCAACAGCCCAAAATTGAACTAATTTAGATTAATCCTATAAAAAAATTAATCTGTGTTTTTGATTCCATAGTTTATTCATAAATGCTACTTATTTATGGAATTTATACCTTCGAATAACAGAAGCCATCCGGCTTACCAAATCCTATTGCAGACTCACAGAACAGTAAAATAGAAATTTTTTACAGTGTATGATTGGCTTAATTAATAGTAGTGTTGGCTAGAAGTAAATTGTTGGCAAAATAGCTACCAGTGAATTTAACCAAATCTAACAAAAGTAAAACTACACCAAGTTGATTCTCTGTTTAATATAACACAAAATATCTCATATGAGGGGGCATAAAACAAATCCTAAATCTCAATGCTTATAATTTAATTGATTAGGCTACTTATATATATAGTAAAACCTCCTTAAATGCATCCTCCTTGTGACTATAGTAAAAAAAAGCAAAATGTGCACTTAAAGATTATGTATATTTAGAGTCAAACATATAGTGCACTTATAAGTTGGGGCCAAGCCATACTGTGCATTTACATAGAACATGCACTTATAGAGTGTGCACTTGTGAAGGTTTTCTGTATTTACTTTTAAGTTATCTCAGTTGCCTTTTCTTAACTTAATTTTCATTATTGAATTGACACTTGCATTGCATTGAGATGCTCACTTTGTTTAGGTGAAACAAAAAATTTAATCAAATGGTTCATTTAAGTAATTAGGTGCTTAGCAGGTAAGAGCCCTTTTTGTACAATTAGATTCAATATATGAGCAGAACATGAAACCTATTTTATACCAAGTTTATTGCATGCTAACTTCATATTTGCTCTGCTATCTGACATAATTAAGAAAACTTTGCTTTTTATACTCCAATGTTTAAGAATGTCCTCAATATATTTCGTGATTGCATCATCTGTATAAAGGTACTGAAAGGAAGTAACTGCCAAAACAGCTTCATTTAGCTCAAACTTTTCATTGATTTATGTTGCCATAATGTCCAAGTAACCTTTATATGAACATGCTGTTCACAAATTTATAGTTAACAATACAGTTTCAGCTTTGTATAAATTATGTCTCAGACTAGAACTGATTTGATTAAATCTTTTATCAATTAGACTCTTAACCTTTCTCTTGCTTGGTACAATTCATTGTGAATCTATAATTTTTGCAAACTGTTTAAACATTTTTCCTTCTATAAAAGATAATGAAAGGTTTTGTGTAACAATAATCTCAGTAATGGCTTTGTTATGAATAGCTTGTTCAGTTGTATTATTTGTATTATGCAGTTTTGAAGAAGAAATTTCAAACACCCTTTTAATAGTTGTCTGCTTTTTGTTTAACTTAAAAAAAAATTAGATTCATATAATAAAATTTTAATAATTCTAACTGAAAAAAGCTTACTTGTTGCCTCTCAATTTCTGAGTATCCATGCATATTCTTTAGATGCCTCCATAGTGCTATTGTTGACTTACCAGTCTTTACTTTTGTATCACAAGGTTTTCCACCCATCAGTTCAATATTACACATACCATGTCGGATATTATTAATATATACTTTTTCAAACTATTTCCAAGCAAGGCTACAAAGTAAGGATCTACCAGCCTTAATTACTCTTTTGCATATGATGACATCATGTGATTAACCAACAGATGCATCCAGTATGTCAGCATTTTGAGGTTCGGGACCAACCAAATAAGATGAATTAGTCTCATCATAATGTTCAAAAATTCTTATTTTTTTTTTGTTTCTGGGAGTATATTAGATCAAATGCGTTCTTTGTTCCTGATGCTGCTTTTAACTTACAGTTATGAAAAGGATCAGGAGGTTGTCTTCGTAATTGGAAACATGAAACTGCAGCCATCACTGTAGCTTTTACCTTTCACTTTTTTTTTTGCTTGAATATCTTCTATGTTGATTAATTAATGGTTCTGAGTAATTGGAACCAGTAGGCACTGCTTCTTCTTCTGAGCTTAATTCTAACACATAATCACCAACTTCTTCATAATTACCAACTTCTTTATAATTATCAGCTTCTTCATAATCACCAACTTCATCATCAGCATATAGTTCTTCACTAGTATATAGTTCTTCACTAGTATATAGTTCTTCATCAGTATATAGTTCTTTACCAGTATATAGTTCTTCAGTATATAGTCTTTTTTTCTGTTGACTAATTTTTGGTACAACTACACAATCCAGGTCATTTTCGCTTATATTATTTGTATTTGAACTTGTACTTACTGCAGGAGTATCTTTATAATTCATAAGTTCTGATGGATTATTCATGTTTAACTTTTGGGTTCTTGTTTTTTTTTTTCCAGCTAAGATATATCTATTTTTTGAGATTAGAAATTGCTTTGTAACTTCTAACTATTCAGCAAAACAACAGCAGCAAACTATAGTATCCACTACTAAAATATTGAAAGAAAAATAATAACAATAAGAGCTTGCTTCTGAAATTATTAAAAAGACAGTATTACTAATTTAGTACTGATAAGAGTCCACTAAAATTATTAAAATAGTGATCTTACTAATTTCGTACTGATAATGATAACAGAAATCTTGGATTTAAAGTTCTTACATACCAAAATTGAATTAAGGTTTTCTGAAAGTTCTTACATACCAGTATTCAATCAAGATTTTCTAAATCAGTTTAAAAATATAAAACCAGATCCAAAACTTTAAATCGAATTCTGACTATAGGCATTACAGTGGTAACTGTTTACTAAAAATTGAATCAATAAATAGTAAAAAACCCTTAATAATTCAGAGTTTGGCTCTTATAAAATTTAAATTCAAGTTTGTAAAATTATTGACTGGATCACAAATTAGGCTGCTTCAAATTACTTGAGTAACCTGGAAGACCCAGTTATTATAAACTTATAAAAAATATTGATTAAATCCTTTTGCCAATTTTTTTAATATATATTATAGTATCTATTCGATCATACATCAATTATAAGTTGAAATGGTAAGTAGCAATTATTTATAAACTTGCTATATTTCAAACAATAAATATTTTTTATACTTATGAGTTAAAAAAATTGTGATAGTAAATATTCATTAGCTTTGGTTGCTTATTTTAAATTTAAATACTTATATTTAATAAATGTTTTACTCATGTACTAAATTATTATGAATAGAATAAATTTATTTTAAATACTTAGACTAAACATTATACACTAAATTATTATGAATAAAATAAAATTAAGTAGTAAGTATTTATGAACTTGAATATTTTTTTTTAAATACTTAGATAAATAAATGTTCTTCATACTTACATGCTAAGTTAATGCTAAATATAATAAACACAACCTAGCATATGTATTATAAATACGTATTACTAATTTAATATGACAAGAAAGAGGTATATTTTTAAGCAAATAATTAACTTGGATAATCAAAGCAGGTATGTATGTACTTACATATAATCTTCAGTTTGTATGTAAATATATAGAAAACATGCAATATATAATTAACAAAGTATATACAATAAAAGTTAAATTCTTTATATAGAGATTTTACCTATAAAGAAGGGTAATGTTAGATCTCACTCCAACTCTAACTATTAGGCAATTTCATCCTTTTTGATTCACAAGGTTCATTCTTTTTGATTCATAAAAAAGACCCACTTTTTTATTATAGTTGGAAGGGTTAAATCATATAGATAGTATCAAAAGAGTGTGCCTTTTTTTATAAACCAAAAAGAATGAAATCTATAAATCAAAAAGGATGGGCTTGCAATAAATATTATATTTTTTGCTAACTATACATATCTTCATAATTTATTTCTGCAATACTCAACCTTATTTGGCACTGTAATTGGTCATGCACAAGGATGGCAAAAATGGGTTAAACAGTTTTTTAGACTTTTTTATTGTTTTTAAAAAAGTTATAAAACATCAACAAAAATGTATTTTAAAATTTGAGTTTGTTACAAATATTACTGTTATATGTAAAAGTTATAATAAATGTATTTTGACAGATTTAAAATTTTTTTTATCAATTTTAATTTATTTTAAATACTTTATTTACTATTAGTTAAGTATTCTTTCTTCTCTTTCTGCATTCAGTCTATATTAAAAGTTAAGGACCACAATGCATGTATATAGATTAATAGGAGGAACTGTTAATATTATGTCAAGTGAGGAATTATATCCATCACATATATAAATAATTTCATTTTAACTAATCGCTCCATGTGAATGACAGGGCGAGAGATTATATCTATAACATACATTTTAGAGTAAACACAAAATAAATAATTTTATTATTGGTTGACTACATTGTGAAGGATTAATGTGTAAGATTGATG